AATTTTTGCCATACTTACTTTCAGATTATATGAATTTTCTTTTCCAAATTTACTTATCTACCAAGTATTTAATGCGAAACGCATATGATCCCGCTTCCCGTATATCATTCATATTTTGTCAAGATATACTTAATTATTATGTTCTCAATAATCATACCAAAAAAATTAAATCTCTTTAAATATTCGTTATAATTTTACGAGTACCACTTTATGTAAGTTCCTTTAATTCATCTCAAATATTTTAGAATTCATCCGAGAAAATGTACTAAAAACCAAAATCAACAAAAATATTTATAGACTTTTACATGATTCATACATTTTAAGATCAGTTGCCTTGTGATAAAATAGGATAATATGGCTCTGTGGCATTTAATCGAAAAATTATTCAATAAAATGAATTTTGGTGCTAAAATTAAGCAAATGCTAAAAAAACTTTTTCTACTTTATGTAAAATTTATGAAATGTCGCATAGAACATATTTTACAATAAATATTACTAATATATATTTAAGACATAAAATTGCTAAAGGTAATATAATATTAAATGTATGTATGTATGTGATATTTTATAAAATTTATTACAAGTGTTGTAACTTAAGAATATTTTTCCTATCAAATTAAGATTTTTACGTGTACGTGTGTGTATTTTTTTATTGTCGAATATTAATTTTTTTTTACATTGTTTTTCTTATATTTAATTTACGTGTAATATTACATACATATATATATGCACTTATATACAATTATGTCTTAATTTATTGTTTGACCTTTTTATGTTTCTTTTTCTTCTTCTTTTCTTTTGTTTTTGACAAATTATATTATTATCTTGACTTAAATTTATTTACACATGTCAAAAATCTGATGTACGATATTGTGTATTGTGTAGGTGTTTTTCTCTTTTATATTATGTAATATTTATGATAAAATTATATTATTTTATGTATTATATATGTTATTTGTTATACTGTTGCAAAAAGTGTTCAGGATAATTTCTGTTCCTTTTTAAAGTGCGATATCATATTGTTTTTTTTATAGATATTTAATTTTTCTCTTTAAATATTTTTTAAGTATGTTCTACAAAATATTAGAAATACTATTATTAGTAAAATAAAAAATTTACTATAAAATTTGTGTATGTATGTTCGTATATCAAATTTGGACTGTATAGGCTTTTTAGGCAGAAATTCTTGAAATAAAATATTTTCTTTAATAAAGAAAATTTTATTTTGTATACCAAAATAGTTTTATTCTCCTTTATTTAATTTAAAATTTAATATGAAAAGCATTTTTAGTTTTAAATTGATTTTAACAGAAAAACATGTAAAGCTGAAATAATTCTCTTTATTAGGCGAACATAATTTTTTAATATTAATATTGCTCGATCTGTTTTATCGCTCAAATCTCAAAAATATTTACTCAATATTAATTAATATCGTTATATATTTGATGAAAATTGCATTTGAGAGTAAAATAATTTATTTGTGATGTAATATAAGAGTTCATTATTTTATTATTACTTGTAGTATACTCGTAGTATTGTCGCATTTACTAAAAGTATTAAAAACACAATATGAGAGAAGTTGCTTTATCATCAACAAATGTTATTTGCTGGCTATTCTAAGCAGGTTTCCGAATTTTTTACAAGAAAGTAAAAAAGATACTTTATTAACTGCCTCTTCCTGTATTCAAATTTAGAAAATTCATACAAGAACGTACCAAAAATATTTTAGTGTTAGCTAGATGTAATAGAAAATGCATTGGATGTACATATTTTTTAAAATTTGTCCGTTTTCATGGTCAATCGTCTTTACCGCATAGTTCAACAACTACAGAAGGCATGTATGCATATGTTTTTTCTGACCTTAACTTTCACATTTAAAATATAATAGAAGTTGTATCTGATTTCTTAAAGAATTTAGTATAAATAACAAAACTCATATTGTGGAATAAAGCAAATTAATATTAATTATGGGTTAATTTGTACAAAATAAGGCGACTTATTATAATAATGCTATTTTACGAGGTTGGATACATTTTGGATACATTTTTTTCTCGAAATTGGATACATTTTGTTTTTTCCGAGTGGGAATACTGTTCTCAATTATATTTTGAATAATAAATTCTCACTAATAATCTCTATAAATAATTTCTTCATAATAACTATAAAAAATTTCTTCATAGTATTTTCGCTCTACAATAGAGGATTTTTAAAAAATCGAAGGAATATTTTGTAATAAATAATTTTTCCTGATGCCTTACTTGAAGGTTTTTTTTTATAATAAATAAATTTTATCACCTAAATAAATTTAATTAAATAAAACGAATAACAAATTAATTGAAATTATTTTAAAAATTTTCTTCATTTAATAAAATTTCTCTATCTCTTTTTAAAATTCTTTGATATTTCTCTATCAAAGAATTTTAAAAAGAGATTTTACTTAAAATAAAAACAAAATAAAAAAGGAAAATAATAGGAAGGAAAAAAGGTTAAAACTCCTTCAATTTTTCAATTAATATTTAATCAATAAAAATTAAAAACTTTTAATTTTTTTCAAAAAACACAATTTTCTCAATTAATTTTATCTAATTAATTTTTGGTTCTGTTCATTATAAATATTTTATTTATTATTAATGCTACAATTTAAATAAATTTTAAATTTTGTTTATTTTAATTATTTTAATAATTAAATCTTATATGATTAAATTTAACACAGAAATGATTAAATATTAAAAAAATCAACAATAATAGTGTGATAATGGCAATTATAAAATTATTTTTTGTTTATGGTATTTAACAAAAAATAAATAAATTATGAGAATTAATTAATTTTTAATTATTATTTAAAAAAAAAATTATTTTCAATTATTAGGGTCTATTTATTAGTAGGATCGATTTCATTACATACTTAGCTTAAAATATATTCCAAAATTATGTTAGTAACGTTATAAGTAAAGAGAAGAATTTCAATAAAACTTTTCCGTAAGGACACACAAATTTTCGTTTCAATTCATTACTTGAATTTTCATACTACGTTTCGTCCCTCTTTCCCATTCATACTACATTAGAGTAGTTTTGTAGTTATATGAAATTTCTGTCTTCTTTTTTGAATCCAAAATTTTGTTGAAGAAAAATTAATGGTATGGTGTCAGTCTTTAACTATTTATTAATTCTGCATTGTTTACTCTGTATGTTATTAAAAAAAAAATAGTTTTTTAATATTTTAAACAAGTTTAAAACAAATTTAAAATTTTGACTGCAAACTGAAAACTTAAGAACTGCAAAACCGTTAGTTTTCTATTAATTATTTTATTCGTTATTATATTCGTTAATTTATTATTATAAATAATAAATTTAAGAATTTTATCTAATTTAAAAATTATTGACATTTATTTTATATTTAATAAAACAAATTTACAAATTTAGTAAAAAATACTAATTGCACATACCATTTTAATTAAAAAAAAATTTTAAAAGAAATTTAGAATATATTATAAAAATAATATTTTATTTGAATAATTTATTAATTGCCTTCTATTTCTTATTTATTTTCAGATTTTTAATGTTAATAAGAAAAAAAATTTTTGCAACAAAAACTCTTATATATTACGAATATAAATAAATCCAAACAAATCTGGACAATGTGGTTTTAATTCATACAAACAATCACACAAGAAAATATAATCATAAAGGATATTTTGTAAAGAACAATTACGGCAGCATATAAAAGGATAAAAAAATCAAAAAAAGTAAAAGAAAAAAATACACAAAAATTCCATTTAATATGTTTAAATGTGAACATACAATTAAATATAAATATAAATTAACAAAATTAAAAAATCGAGAAAAATGTTTCCATTAATTGAAAGATAAATTTCTTCTTTAAAAAATAACAAAAAAACAACAAAAATATATCAATAAAAAAAAAAAAAAACAAAACTTTATTAAGAAATAACAATACAAAAAATAAGAGAATTTATAATAATTCCGATAAGAGAAGAGAATATATTGGTAAATAAATTAAGAGAAAAGAATTTCAAAAAACCCTTTGTTATAATTAAATTACAAATTAATGCACATAATATACAAGAAAAAATTAAAAATTAAATCCAGCCAAAATAAATTGAAAAAAAAAAAATTCTTATTTTATTCATTTTAATAACTTGAGATTAAAATTAAAATAAAATTAACAAAAAAAAAACAAAAAAAAGGGACAAAATAATTAAAAATTTGCAAAAATTTAATTATTTTTACACAAAAACACACAAATACAACACATTATAGTATTAGATAAAATTTTAATTAAAAAAGAAAACGAAAAAAATAATAAAATTTTATCAAAAAATTTAAATTTAATAAAAAAGAAAAATATCAAAGATTCCTCGCTTGTTTTTTTTTTTTAAATGTTTTTTAATTAATTATTTTTTTTTTATTTTTATAATTAATTATTATATATAATAATTACTTGTTTTCTATATTAATTTAATTTAAAAACTTAAAACAAAATTAAAAGCTAATAAAAAACAAAAAAAAAGGTTTAAAAATTGTCTTATAAAATTTTGTTTGTTTTTTTTAATGTCTTTTTCATATATTTTCTTTTAATTATTATAATTGAAAATATTCTAAAACGAAAAATTTCTAATTTATTTCCCAAAATTACATTTAATAATATTAAAAAGAAAAAAAAAACAAATAATAATAATAAAAATTTGTTGTTGGTGCTTTTTTAATTTAGAAACATAGAAAAAAAAATACAAAGTTGTTCTTTTCTAATTTAAATTATAATTGAAAATAAAATTAATAAATTAAATTAAAAAAATTGAGCAAAACACAAAAAAGAAATCATATTAAAACATAAAAAAAATAAATAATATAATTTTGTAAATCTATAATTAAAATTTGTTAAACCTAATTAAAAAGGAACAATTAAATTCATAAATAAAAAAAAAAAAAATTGTTAAATTATTAAAAAAAAAACAAATTAAATTCTACCGAACCACCGATCTTAAACATATTAAAATAACAAAAATCATTTATTACAAATAATAATTTTCACTTTCATTTGTTAATTATTTAAAAAATAAATGACAATTTATTGAAATTAATTTGAAAAATATAAATAAAAAAAAAAAATCAAACAAATTTCACACTCTAAGCATTTAAACTCAAATTTAATTTATAATTTATTAAATTTCATAAGAATTTCATAATCATATATAAAAAAAATAAATATTTTTTAAAATAATTATAATAACAAAATAATAATAATAATAATTACAAAAATAAATAAGACGGCAAAATAATATTCTTGCTAAATAAACAATTAAAATACAAAAAAAAAAATTTTATTTACATCATTTTGTCAATTTAAATAATGGCTACATCTCCAACACCATCGTTGGAATCATTACCGGGTGCAACACATTCATCAATTGGTTCATATGGTGAACATCACGATTATTTATCGGATTCACCATTAACATTAAGTGGTTCATCACCTCCAGTTAGTGATTCAGCAATTTGTGACGATTTTAGTAATAGCGGTGCAACATCTGGTTCAGAATCACATAAAACAAATTCATCATCATCATCAAGTAGTAGTAGTAGTAGTTCAGGTGGTTCATCAGCATCATCAACTAGTGGTTTAAGTTGTGGTAGTAGCGGTTCCTCAACATCATCATCAAATTCAATAACAAATAATACAGCTGGTGTTATTGGTTCTGGTTTATTACAAAATACAGCAAATTTATTAAATAATCAACAACAAAAACAACAACAACAACAACAGCAACAACAGCAACAACAACAACAGCAACAACAACAACAGCAACAACAACAACAGCAACAACAACAATCAGCAATCTCATCGATAGTATCATCATCATTAGTTAACGGTTTAAGTTCTGGTGTTATTAATTTACAAACTTTAAACGGTGAACAGCCACCACGTTGTACTGGTTGTAAATCAAAACAATCAGACGCCGTTGCTAAGTGTATTGATTGTGTTAATTATTTATGTGCTAGCTGTGTAACTGCACATCAATTTATGCATTGTTTTGCTAGTCATAATGTTTTCCATATTGATGGTACAACAACAAATACCGGTAATGTTAATGGTTCATCAAATATTAATGGAGCATTTGATGGTTTAACATCAGTTGTACAACAAGCAGCAGCTGCAGCAGCAGTAGTCCAACAACAACAAAATTCAAGTTCAATACTCGTTAATTTACAAAATTCATCATTAGATTTAACAAGTACATTGACAAATTTAAGTTTAAATACAAATTCAATTTCAATGTTATTACATCAACAACAACAGCAACAGCAACAATCTCAACAACAAATGGCACCACAATCACAATTATCAAAATTAATGGGTTCACGTTTTAATTATGCATCAACAACAAATGGTACAACAGATTGTACAAATTCAAATAGTGAATTATTACCAAAATTATCAACAATGAGTTCCTTAAATAATACAAATGATATTTTAGTATCAGCATTAGGTAATGGTGGTGCAAATGGTAATAATAATTCACAACAAAATGGACAACAGCAAACAGCAAAATTAACTAGTCAATATTTTTGTACTAAACATAAAAATGAATTATTTAAATTTTATTGTCGGACATGTCAAGTACCAGTTTGTAAAGATTGTATTGTATTAGATCATCCAGCTGGTTTACATGAATGTGAGCATATACAAGATTCATCACCAAAACAAATTGAAAATTTATTACAAAGTATATCAGATTTACGTAATAAAATTTCTGATTTACGTAATATACTAAAAACATCTGAACAAAATTCAAGTCGTATTCAAATGTATTATCATAAAGCACAAGATGAAATTAATGAAACTTATCAGTTTTTCAGATCTCAATTAGATGAACGTAAAGAAGAATTATTAAAAGAATTGGAATCTTTTTATAATGCAAGAAATGTATCGAATTCTGTTTTAATAACAAAATCTCAAGAGAATATTGAAAAAATCTTACAAGCATGTGACTCAGTTGAACGGGTCACAAAATCAACCAGTGTTAATGAAACTATAATGCTTAAAAAATTAATTGATAGTAAAACACAATTATGTAATCAAATGATGCAAGAATTACAATTAAATCCAGATTTAACATTTATGTCTAATTATCAAGCTATACAAGCTGGTGTTCGTAATACATTCGGTTATATACGTTCATCAGATATGTTAGCACCAACAAAACAACCACCGATTGCACGTCCCACAAATAGTTTATCATCAAATGGATCTTCAAGTATTAGCCCAACAAATAGTACAACAAGCTTAAATGGTATTGGTGGCGGTGCAACTTTATCTAATTTACTTAGTAGTGTCGGTAATGGAACATCATTATTAGATCGTCATCAATATGGTAGTATTGGTAATTCATCTAGTTTATGTATTGGTAATGGCATCGGTAATAGTATTACAAATGGTACAACACAATCAGCATCATCACAATTAACAAATGGATTAACAAGCTCATCAAATTTTGATAGCAATATCATATCAAAAAGATTTAATAGTGTCAATAGTTTAGGACCATTTGTAAGTGATGTTAGTTTACAATTAAATCCTTATGACAAATGGAGTAATAGTGGATCAGATATTTTTAATGGCTTAACAGATCAATACAGTTTAGGATTAAGTTCTTGTACACAAAATGGTAGCCCATTAGGTGGTACTGGTGGTAATGGTGTTAATAGTAGTAATGCTTTAGTACCAGCAAATAGCTTAACTGTTGCAAATAATGCATTAACAGGAACTGATTCAATAATGGATTTAACATCAAAATTATTATCAACTACTGCTTTTCCACCAAAATCTCAAATAAAAAGACAAAAAATGATTTATCATTGTAAATTTGGTGAATTTGGTATATTGGAAGGTCAATTTACAGAGCCTAGTGGTGTTGCTGTTAATGCACAAAATGATATTGTTGTAGCTGATACAAATAATCATCGTATACAAATTTTTGATAAAGAAGGACGTTTTAAATTTCAATTTGGTGAATGTGGTAAACGTGATGGTCAATTATTATATCCAAATCGTGTTGCCGTTGTTAAAAATTCTGGTGATATTGTTGTAACAGAACGTTCACCAACACATCAAATTCAAATATATAATCAATATGGTCAATTTCAAAGAAAATTTGGTGCAAATATATTACAGCATCCACGTGGTGTTACAGTTGATAATAAAGGACGTATTGTTGTTGTTGAATGTAAAGTAATGCGTGTTATTATATTCGATCAATATGGTGTTGTATTACAAAAATTTGGCTGCTCAAAACATTTAGAATTTCCAAATGGTGTTGTTGTTAATGATAAACAAGAAATTTTTATAAGTGATAATCGGGCACATTGTGTTAAAGTATTTAATTATGAAGGACAATATTTACGTCAAATTGGTGGTGAAGGTATTACAAATTATCCAATTGGTGTTGGTATTAATTCAGCTGGTGAAATATTAATTGCTGACAATCATAATAATTTTAATTTAACAATATTTACACAAGATGGACAATTGGTTTCTGCATTGGAATCAAAAGTAAAACATGCACAATGTTTTGATGTTGCATTAATGGATGATGGTAGCGTTGTATTAGCAAGTAAAGATTATAGATTATATATATACAGGTATGTTCAAGTACCACCAATTGGACTTTAAATTGATATCTGGAAATATTCACATAAAATAAAAAAGAATTCTTCTCATTCGAAAAAATTTTAATTACAACAACAAAAATTTGATTAGTTTATTACATACAAATATATATATATATATAAAATATTAAAAAAAAAAGTTTTTAAGTGGTTAATCTAAAAATATTAAAAAAAATTTTATTATAATAATGACTGAATCCTGAATATTAAAATGAATTGAAAAATTTTGTTTTCTTATTTTTTAAATGACAAAAATATATGTATATTCTTATATATATATATATAATGATTAAATAAAATTCAACTAAATCAAATTTTTAAGAAAAAATGCAAAAAAAAACTAAAAATCCCTCCATGGAATTTGTAAATTTTAAAGAAATCAACAGTATATATTAAAAAAAAAAAAAAAAAACGAAGAAAAGTGAGAAATCATTCGAAAATATTTAAATTTTATTGTTTTTTTTTTTGATTATTAAAACTGACAAAAAGAGAAAAAAATGATCATCACTGCAACAAAGAAGAAAAGAAAAAAAAAAGAAAATAATTGTTATTTTGTTTCGTAATAATATTAATTTCTCTATTTTTTATATATTTATAATTTATCTACTTATAAATCCAATTTAAAATAAATTTACTTAGTTTTTAATTACAAACATATATTAAAAAACTATAAAGGATCATTTACAAATGAATATGAAAGAAGATTCAAAAAAAAAAAATTCTTCATCATCTCTCCTTTCAACACCACTAATTATGAAGTTAAACCACTCAGAACTAACACTTAAACTGCTGCTACATTTGCATTAAACAAAAATAATGACAACAACAATATTTAAGGAAAATCAAAATAAAACAGAAATTGGAGTAACAAAATTTTAAGAGAATAACAACTTTATCAAGAGCATTATTTTTTGTAGCTCTTAATTTCAAATTATAAATACACAGAAAAAAAAAGTAACAGTAACAGTACTCTGCATTAATAATAAAATGTAAATGTTTTCTTTTTTTTTTCACAATAAATCACAATTTAATAAATAAAAAAAAGTGACAATTAATTTTAATAATACAATCATTTAATAAAAAAAAGGGAATAATATTAATGAGAACATTTTGACAATATTTTTGTGTATATAATTTTTTTTTTTTTTTTGTGTGTACGGGATATATAAAACATAAAATTTTCATTAAAATTGATTATTGAAGCAGCAAACAACACAATACTATTCAAATAACAACAATAATATTTAAAAGAACATCATTATTACAACAGCCGGAACAACAACAGCAACAACAGTACTTTTATATTAATTGTCTGAAAATTTCTGAAATTATCCGAATCAAACGACGACGTGCAAAACTGGACACGGATGGATGAATCAATAAGGTGGTTTTCTTCATAAAAAATTTAAAAATAAAAAAAAAAATTAAATTTTTGTTTTTAATTTTAAAAATTTTTTTAATTAGTAATATGTTATAAAAAATTAAATTGACTTTATTATCTATTATAAAATTTAAAAAAAAAAAAATTGCACTTTTTTTTTTCTTTCAAAATATTTTTCTATATTTATACATATATATATATATATGTATATATATATATCAATGTGTATATATATTTGCATAAAAGATATAATATATATGAATATAAATAATAATAATAAAAATAATAAATTTAATAAAAAGTGAGATTTTATACTAAGAGACACATAAAAGGCTTTATACACACAAAAAAAAAAAACATACAAAATTTAAATATATATATATATATATATTTGCTTCTATATTATTATATTTTTATCTGTTTTTTTGTTAAATACAAAATATATTTGTTAATAATTAAATATATATATTTTTTAAAATTTAATAATTCTATTATAACAAAAATAAATTGAGTTTATTGTTTTTTTTATATTTTTAAAATTAATTTACAATCTATTACTCATATTCTTATATTCAATTAAATACAAATACTTAATTTTTTAATACTTAACAGTTATACTATAATATACTCTTCTATATATATATATATATATATATATTATATCTAGTCCATTCTTGCATATATAAAAATATTATACTGTTAATAATAAATTCAGTTAATTAATTTTGAATTCTTAGTTCTAAAATTTAAAATGAAAGCAAAACTTAAAATTTTTTGAAATTTTATAAATAATTTTTATGATATAAAATTTTTTTTGAGTGTAATATATAATTTTTGAGTGTCACTTCCAATTAAATTTAACCAGTTCGAAAAGCATTCAAACCAGTTCGAAAAGTAATTATTTGTTCGATGTATATTAAAAAAATTTGTATTATTATTGGTATGATATCAATAAATTAAATATAAACTGGGAAAAAATGACTTAGTATAACAGATTTTTTTATTTTTTTTTATTTTCTATATTACCGTTAATTATTTTTATAATGATCCACTCGAAATTACAAATTTTACTTGAAAGCTCAATTATTTTTTATTTTTATATATAATCTTATAATATAGTCTTTTCATTTTCGACAAGTCTTTATAAGACTTCTTCGAAAATAAAAAAAAAAGTATAAAATCTCTGTACGTAATTCGAATTTCTTTAAAGTTTTTTTGTTATTGTTCTTTAAATAAATGTCTAAATTTTTGTCCAAATTCCGTTTATATTAATAAATAATAGTTATTATATACATATATATATATATATATATATATATATATGTGTACTTATAGGAAAATTAATAGTAAAGAAAAAAAAAAAGATTTTTTTTTAGGTATTAATATTATTATTAAAAAAAAAAATTCCTTGTTTTGTTTTTTATTCCTTAAGGTAATTTTTAATGTATTAACGTGACTATATTATTATATATATATATATAAATTAAATAAATATATTAATTTTTTTTTTTTACAAAATGAAAGAGAAGTTTTCGACATACAACAAAAAAGCAAAAAAAAAAAAATTTAATTTTAAAAATATTTAATTTTTTTAATTTTATTAATTTTTTTTTTTTTTATATTTTTAAAATTAGTGTTTTATTTTTTTTATATTATTTTAATGTATTTTTGTTTGTTTTTTTATTTTATTTTTTTTTTTTTGTATTTTATTTCATAATAGTATAATTAATTTTTTTATTTTATTTTTTTTTCTATATATATATATATATATTAATTTCAAAGTAATTTGCCGCTTATATTTAATATTTGTATAAATAACACAAACAAAAAAAAATAGAAAAGAATGAATACTTTTCAAAAAAGATTATAAATTATTACTTATATAATATAGAATAAAATTAAAATAAAAAAATAATAAATTGGAAAAATCTCTTATTTTTTAATGTATAATATAAATTTATAAGTGTATATATATATATATATATATATATATTAAAATAATATAAAATATCTCATATATTTAAATTTAACTTAAATATTAAAAAAAGAAAAATGATTGAAATTAATTCTAATTACATAAATAAATAAATACATATATGTTTGTTTATGAATGAAAGATGGAAGGATATTAAAAATAATGAATAAAATAGTCTGTTTTTTTTATATAATAATAATAATAATAATTAATAATATAATATAAAAGAATAAATAAGTATTATAGAAATATTTTAATTTTTTTTTTAAATATTAATATTATTAAATACGATATCATATTATTAATAAAATATTTAAAAAAAAAGATTTTTATTAAATAAATTATATTCATAAAGAAAAAAAAAAGAATCTACCATTTTATAAAAAAAAAACAAACATGTAAAAATGAAAAAAGAATACTTCTTACAAGAAAGAGAAAGATTAAAGAAATATTAAAATCGTACATAGGCAAAAATTGAAGGAGAATATAATATATATTTTTGTTTGTTTGTTTGTTTATGGTAAAAATTTAATAAAATATTTTTCTCTTTTTACTTATTTTCTTGTTAAATTTTATTAATAATTTTTTTATATTTAAAAATTTCCTTCAAATTTTAAAACTAGTCAAAAATCAATTTTTTCAAAATATTTTTATAAAAAATATTAAAATATGTAAATATTCAATAATTTGTAAAATTTCAATTTTGTTCAAAATAATAATAATTTTTTTTTTTTAATATGTAAATGTTATGAAGAAAAATTTCCGAAAAAAATCAACTCTTCTCTCTTATCGATTTAAAACAAAATATAAATGTAAATTAGAATTTATGAAGAGAAAATTTATTTGAGAAATTGTAATTTTAAGAGAGAATTTTTCCAAATGTTTTATAACCCACCATTTTTTTTATATATAAATTGACGTTGTGTCGTCGTTAGCTCAAAATTTTCATTTTTTTTTTTTCAATTCAAATTTTGTTTGATTTAAAAATGAGTTTAATTCAAATTTTGTCTGATTTGAAATTTTGTTTGATTTAAAAATGAGTTTGTTTCAAATTTTTATTAATTAAAATTTTATAAATAAAAATACCATTTAGGGAAATTTTTTATATTAATTCATCACTTTTGCAATTATTATAATTTAGTATTTCTTATAGCAACTCTTTAGTTTTCCATAAAATATTGACCTACTCATATTTATTTTTGTTCGCTTTCATAATTAATCAAATTCTGCTGTTGAATTATAAAAAGAAAATTAATATTAAAAAAAGTAAAAAAATATTTTATTAAATTTTTTGTTCTTTTTACCAAATATCAAATACAAAAATTCTTTAATTACAAATTAAATATGAAAATAAAAAAATTCACAAATATTAAATAAACACAATTAATTGTGAATGACGATAAAAAATAAGATTGAAAAATATAAAATAAATAAAACAAAAAAATTTAAATTTATATAAATATTTTAATTTTTTTTTTTTTGTTTATTTAATTATTATAATATAGTGTGACATATAATAAATTTAAATAATAAAAATAATAAGTAATCTTTGAATATAATTTATAATTAATTGAAATATTATCTACTTAATTGAAAAAAAATTACAGACAACAAATATTAATAATAATGGAAAAGAAGAAGAAATAAATATTAAAAACAAAAAAAAAAAAAAATAAATTAAAATAAAAATGACATAAAATTGAAATGTCAAATATTAGATTTTGACATTTTGATTTTCATAAAACAAAATGAAAGAATGAAAATTTTTGTTTTTATTTTTTTCCTGTTTTTATTTCTTCTTTTTTTTTGTTTTTGTTGTTGATTTATGTAAATATTTCAACAATAAGAGCAACATAAAATTTAATAAAAGTATAAATATGAATAATTTTTTTGATTATTATTAGAAAATATGCAAAATAATTAATAAAAAAAATAAATATACAATTTATAGTAATTATTATATTTAAAAGAATGTGAAAGAAAGAGATAAAGTAAGAAGGAAAGAAAGAAGAAATCAACCATATAAGACTTAAATTTAACAAATTTTTTTTATTATCATTATTATTATTTTAATTGTAAGTAATTATTATTATTATATTTTTTTTTTATTTTAAAAATTTGATTTGTAGTAGACATGTATTAAAAGAAAGAAAGAAAGAAAAAATGATTTTTGATGTCATGTTTTATTTTTTTTTTATAAATTTAAATCATTTTATATATATACATACATACATATATTTTTTTTTTATTAATTATTACTACTTTACTTGTACCTTTCTTATCTGTAATTGTTTTTGTTCTATTATTTGATTTTATTATTTTTTTTTATTAAATATGTTTTGTTTGTCAAAATAATTAAAAAAGAAAAAAACTAAAAAAGCGTGTGTTTTTATTTTTTATTTAGAAATTTTTTTTTTTATTTTTAGTATTTTTATTTTCATTTTTAGTAAAAGTAGAATTAGGGCGAACGGATATTTAGCACTAAAGGGACGGACAAGGGATTGGGTGAAACATTTGTTTGACATTTAAAGAAATAAGTTTCCCTGACTTCAGAATTGTGGTAATACTGAATTGATACACAATTCAGCAATAATAACTGATAAGTTAATTTTTGTATTAAGTCCGTATTAGTGCAATTTTGAAGTCAAGGTTTGTTAATTCTAACCATGGAAGTATTTCTCAGTTCTTCTCACTACAAATGTGTTAAAGAGTAATAAAGAAAGTATATTATATTTTCTAATAATTTATAGAGTCCATTTTATTTTTATTTGCTCAATTACTATAACAAATACTACCCTGTATATAATATGAAATGCTCTTTGTGGTTGAATTATTTGCTCTTATTACAGTAAATAATTTTGAGTAAAAATTTCGAGTTCACAAGAAAATTCTGAAATATTATTATTAAATTGAATTTAATCAATTTCATATTTAAAAAAAAAAATTATTCCACAACAGTAATATATTTTGAGTTAATTTTTTTGGTAAATATTTGTTTTTGGGATATTATGACAAATAAAGATGTAAAAAATAAGCTATTCACAATTAAGTACTTCCTTTTGATTTGATGTTTATGTAATTAAGAAAATCAGTCAAGCAAAGAAGAATTCAAGAAGAAGAATTCTAAATTACCTTTATTAATAAATCTTAAAGTTTTTTGGTATCATGTGTGGGCATCATGT